TTTTACCTATTCAACACGACATATATGTATTATACATATGATGCTCTAACACACAGGACCATGCAATCCTACAGGAATCAAGCATCCAGCAGCACTTGATGCTTGGTTCTTGTAGGATTGCGTGGTCATATAGGCTAAAGCATCATGTGGTTTTCGCCCACCATGAGGCTAGTCGCAGTGTTGTTATTGATTCAATACCACTTGTTCGTGGTTACAATAATATTATATATATATATATATATATATATATATATATATATATATTTATATATATATATATATATATATATATATATATATATATATATATATATATATATATGTGAGGTAGTAGGTTGGTAGACAGCAACCACCCAGGGAGGTACTACCGTCCTGCCAAGTGAGTGTAAAACGAAAGCCTGTAATTGTTTTACATGATGGTAGGATTGCTGGTGTCTTTTGTCTGTCTCATAAATATGCAAGATTACAGGTACGTCTTGCTACTTCTACTTACACTTAGGTCACACTACACATACATGTACACGTTTATTTATACACACTCATCTGAGTTTTCTTTGATTTTATCTTAATAGTTCTTGGTCTTATTACTTTTCCTTTTATATCCATGGGGAAGTGGAATAAGAATCTTTCCTCCGTAAGCCATGCGTGTTGTAAAAGTCAACTAAAATGCCGGGAACAATGGGCTAGTAACCCCTTTTTCCTGTAAAGATTACTAAAAAGAATAAGAAGAAGAAAATTGTCAAAGTGGGAAGTCTGAATGTGCGTGGATGTTGTGCAAATGATAAGAAAGAGATGATTGTGGATGTTATGAATGAGAAGAAAACTGGATGTCCTGGCTCTAAGTGAAACAAAGCTGAAGGGGGTGGGAGAGTTTCAATGGAGAGGAATAAATGGGATTAGGTCAGGGGTTTCAAATAGAGTTAGAGCTAAAGAAGGAGTAGCAATAATGTTGAAGGATAAGCTATGGCAGGAAAAGAGGGACTACAAATGTATAAATTCAAGGATTATGTGGAGTAAAATAAAGATTGGATGTGAAAAGTGGGTTATAGTAAGCGTGTATGCACCTGGAGAAGAGAGAAGTGTAGAGGAGAGAGAGAGATTCTGGGAAATGTTGAGTGAATGCGTGGGGAGTTTTGAATCAAGTGTGAGAGTAATGGTGGTTGGGGATTTCAATGCTAAAGTGGGTAAAAATGTTATGGAGGGAGTAGTAGTTAATTTTGGGGTGCCAGGGGTAAATGTAAATAGGGAGCCTTTAATTGAGCTATGTGTAGAAAGAAATTTGGTAATAAGTAATACATATTTTATGAAAAAGAGGATAAATAAATATACAAGGTATGATGTAGCACGTAATGAAAGTAGTTTGTTAGATTATGTATTGGTGGATAAAAGGTTGATGGGTAGGCTCCAGGATGTACATGTTTATAGAGGGGCAACTGATATATCGGATCATTATTTAGTTGTAGCTACAGTTAGAGTAAGAGGATAGATGGGAAAAGAGGAAGGTGGCAACAACAAGTAAGAGGGAGGTGAAAGTGTATAAACTAAGGGAGGAGGAAGTTCGGGCGAGATTTAAGCGACTATTGGCAGAAAGGTGGGCTAGTGCAAAGATGAGTAGTGTGGGGGGGGTTGAAGAGGGTTGGAATAGTTTTAAAATGCAGTATTAGAATGTGGGGCAGAAGTTTGTGGTTATAGGAGGGTGGGGGCAGGAGGAAAGAGGAGTGATTGGTGGAATGATGAAGTAAAGGGTGTGATAAAAGAGAAAAAGGTAGCTTACGAGAGGTTTTTACAAAGCAGAAGTGTTATAAGAAGAGCAGAGTATATGGAGAGTAAAAGAAAGGTGAAGAGAGTGGTGAGAGAGTGCAAAAGGAGAGCAGATGAAAGAGTGGGAGAGGCACTGTCAAGAAATTTTTATGAAAATAAGAAAAAATTTTGGAGTGAGTTAAACAAGTTAAGAAAGCCTAGGGAAAGTATGGATTTGTCAGTTAAAAACAGAGTAGGGGAGTTAGTAGATGGGGAGAGGGAGGTATTAGGTAGATGGCGAGAATATTTTGAGGAACTTTTAAATGTTAAGGAAGAAAGGGAGGCGGTAATTTCATGCACTGGCAGGGAGGTATACCATCTTTTAGGAGTGAAGAAGAGCAGAATGTAAGTGTGGGGGAGGTACGTGAGGCATTACGTAGAATGAAAGGGGTAAAGCAGCTGGAACTGATGGGATCATGACAGAAATGTTAAAAGCAGGGGGGGATATAGTGTTGGAGTGGTTGGTACTTTTGTTTAATAAATGTATGAAAGAGGGGAAGGTACCTAGGGATTGGCGGAGAGCATGTATAGTCCCTTTATATAAAGGGAAAGGGGACAAAAGAGATTGTAAAAATTATAGAGGAATAAGTTTACTGAGTATACCAGGAAAAGTATACGGTAGGGTTATAATTGAAAGAATTAGAGGTAAGACAGAATGTAGAATTGCGGACGAGCAAGGAGGCTTCAGAGTGGGTAGGGGATGTGTAGATCAAGTGTTTACATTGAAACATATATGTGAACAGTATTTAGATAAAGGTAGGGAAGTTTTTATTGCATTTATGGATTTAGAAAAGGCATATGATAGAGTGGATAGAGGAGCAATGTGCAGATGTTGCAAGTATATGGAATAGGTGGTAAGTTACTAAATGCTGTAAAGAGCTTTTATGAGGATAGTGAGGCTCAGGTTAGGGTGTGTAGAAGAGAGGGAGAATACTTCCCGGTAAAAGTAGGTCTTAGACAGGGATGTGTAATGTCACCATGGTTGTTTAATATATTTATAGATGGGGTTGTAAAAGAAGTAAATGCTAGGGTGTTCGGGAGAGGGGTGGGATTAATTTATGGGGAATCAAATTCAAAATGGGAATTGACACAGTTACTTTTTGCTGATGATACTGTGCTTATGGGAGATTCTAAAGAAAAATTACAAAGGTTAGTGGATGAGTTTGAGAATGTGTGTAAAGGTAGAAAGTTGAAAGTGAACATAGAAAAGAGTAAGGTGATGAGGGTATCAAATGATTTAGATAAAGAAAAATTGGATATCAAGTTGGGGAGGAGGAGTATGGAAGAAGTGAATGTTTTCAGATACTTGGGAGTTGACGTGTCGGCGGATGGATTTATGAAGGATGAGGTTAATCATAGAATTGATGAGGGAAAAAGGTAAGTGGTGCGTTGAGGTATATGTGGAGTCAAAAAACGTTATCTATGGAGGCAAAGAAGGGAATGTATGAAAGTATAGTAGTACCAACACTCTTATATGGATGTGAAGCTTGGTGGTAAATGCAGCAGCGAGGAGACGGTTGGAGGCAGTGGAGATGTCCTGTCTAAGGGCAATGTGTGGTGTAAATATTATGCAGAAAATTCGGAGTGTGGAAATTAGGAGAAGGTGTGGAGTTAATAAAAGCATTAGTCAGAGGGCAGAAGAGGGGTTGTTGAGGTGGTTTGGTCATTTAGAGAGAATGGATCAAAGTAGAATGACATGGAAAGCATATAAATCTATAGGGGAAGGAAAGAGGGGTAGGGGTCGTCCTCGAAAGGGTTGGAAAGAGGGGGTAAATGAGGTTTTGTGGGTGAGGGGCTTGGACTTCCAGCAAGCGTGCGTGAGCGTGTTAGATAGGAGTGAATGGAGACGAATGATACTTGGGACCTGACGATCTGTTGGAGTGTGAGCAGGGTAATATTTAGTGAAGGGATTCAGGGAAACCGGTTATTTTCAATTAGTCGGACTTGAGTCCTGGAAATGGGAAGTACAATGCCTGCACTTTAAAGGAGGGGTTTGGGATATTGGCAGTTTGGAGGGATATGTTGTGTATCTCTATACATATATGCTTCTAAACTGTTGTATTCTGAGCACCTCTGCAAAAGCAGTGATAATGTGTGAGTGTGGTGAAAGTGTTGAATGATGATGAAAGTATTTTCTTTTTGGGGATTTTCTTTCTTTTTTTGGGTCACCCTGCCTCGGTGGGAGACGGCCGACTTGTTGAAAAAAAAAAATGTGTGAGTGACGTGAAAGTGTTGAATGATGATGAAGTATTTTCTTTTTGGGGATTTTCTTTCTTTTTGGGTCACCCTGCCTCGGTGGGAGACGGCCGACTTGTTAAAAAAAAAAAAAAAAAAAAATATATTATATATATATATATATAATATATATATATATATATATATATATATATTATATATATATATATATATATATATATATATATATATGCAATAAGATCACAGTAAACAGGTGATTTCAGAATATGCAAAACAAACCACTCTGAAAGAATAGAGAAATTCCAAGCGCTTTCGTGACTACTCACATTATCAAGGAATTATGATAATGTGAGTAGTCACGAAAGCGTTGGAATTTCTCTATTCTTTCAGAGTGGTTGTTTTGCATATTATATATATATATATATATATATATATTATATATGAATATATATATATATATATATATATCTTTCTTTCAACACACCGGCCGTATCCCACCGAGGCGGGGTGGCCCAAAAGGAAAAACGAAAGTTTCTCCTTTTACATTTAGTAATATATACAGGAGAAGGGGTTACTAGCCCCTTGCTCCCAGCATTTTAGTTGTCTCTTACGCCACGCTTGGCGTAAGAAGGAAGAATTCTGTTCCACTTCCCCATGGAGATAAGAGGAAATAAACAAGAACAAGGACTAGAAAGAAAATAGAAGAAAACCCAGAGGGGTATGTAAGTATATATATGCTTGTATATGTATGTGTAGTGTGACCTAAGTGTATGTAGAAGTAGCAAAATGTACCTGAAATCTTGCATGTTTATGAGACAGAAAAAAGGACACCAACAATCCTACCATCATGTAAAACAATTTCAGGCTTCCGTTTTACACTCACTTGGCAGGACGGTAGTACCTCCCTGGGTGGTTGCTGTCTACCAACCTACAATCTCGGACCAACCTACTACCTAGGATATATATATATATATATATATATACTCACACACACACACCCTTACATTAAAACTTCGACTGAGGCGAGTCATAAAGAGGTTCGTGATATCATGGTGGCGGTCGAAGTGGAACACCGCACTGTTGATATCGTTGTCGGACTGGAAGCCCACCACGTTCCTGAGTGCGGCCAGGGAGGAGATGCACACAACGTCGGTGTCACTGTAGAAGCCCCCAACCCTCCACACCAACGCCAACCTCGTCATGTCGCTTAGGTTGACCACCGGCCATTCTGATACAGACAAAATATTATCCAACACTACCCACACAAGGCATCACCTGCAGTGCCACCATTAGTTAATGTTAGTTATATGCTCCGTCATTCACTCTCCGGCACCTTACCAACACACACTTACCCGCACAGGGCACAAAGAGCACTCTGTTACCCGGACAGTGTATGAGTTGACATTAGCAGAAAAGCTGGTACAGGTTGGCCATCACTAATATGGCAATCATTAATCCGATCCTGCACTAATTTCGGCTAACATAATTTCAAATTTCCCGGGTTACCTCACCAGACTGCTGCTAATTGCTGCATAAACACTGTTGGTGTCACAGGCAAGCCATTCCAATTTGTTTGTCTTCATTTATTGTTATCACCTGCTCACTTTAACCCCAGCCATGGTTTCAATGAATAAAGGAAATGCTTCTTGTTGTGTAAAGCGGAAACACCGTACATTGTCCATAAACGATAAGGATGAACTACTGAAAAAAATCGACAGTGATGTGTCTGTGAGAAGCTGTGTGAATTATACAGCATTGGTTCTTCCACAGTTTATGACATACAGAAACAGAAAGGAAAATTACTCGGTTTCTTTGCTAACAATGATTCAAAGAAACAGATGTGTAAAAGGAAAACAATGAAGGAAAAAGTTTAGAACTAGATCAAGTTTTGATGAAGTGGTTTAGGCAATGCGTAAGTGAAGATGTAGAGTAGTAAATTCCAGCTCTTCACTTTGGAAGCGGCATTGATGAACTTTCTTGTGTAAGTAAAATTCGTTAACTTTATTAACTCTTCTTTCATTGTCGGTCCCACTGTATCACGGCTTTGAAGCCGCTGTCGGTCCCGTGGTATGACGCTATGAGCGCAGTCCACTCAGATAAGCCGTGACCAGTAAATTTGGGCCTAGATATGAGAGAATAGGTCTGTGTGTGAAGTGTTCATTATATAAAAAAAATCTTGTAGCACGCAGTGTACATTGAGAAAAAAAACTGCGACTGTATTTTTTGGTGTAAAACAGCAAATTTGCGGTGTATTTTCGTATGGTTTTCATGGTGGCGTTCTCGTTTTTTTTTTTTTGGCTCATTTGATAGAATGGAAGACATATTACAGAAATAAAGATGATATTTATTGGTTTCTTGAGGGAAAGTACCTTGAGATTGGGCTCAAAGTAGCGGAAATATTAAGTTTTTGCCGATGTTTAAGAGTAAACAAATCATGTCACGGGTCCAATATGTGTCCAACTGGCCGGTCTAATATGCACTCACGAATGGGTTGACATTATTTATACAATTATTACAATAATGCAGTAGTCTGCATAGTAGTAAATCTTCTATTATTTGTGTGAATAAAAATTCAAAATGGAAAGCAAGCGTAATATAAGAGGAGCCTGGAAACGTGACTAGTGAACAAAGAAAATTTTTTTATTTTAGTACCAGGAATGTCTGCATTGTTTATGCTGGACCCCATTTTGAAATCAGCCTCTTAAAATTTGTGAAACTGGCCAAATTACCGATTTCTGATCACTATAAGGTAGTTGAAATAGGTAAATGGTCGGTTTCTTACTCGATAGACAGAATATAAGGAATACTAGCGAAATAGTTATGAACTTGATCGACTGGAACAATGGAATTGACCAAAAATAGGGCATAAAGTAAGCAAAATCGCCGATGTGAAAATATCGCGAGAGCATAATTCCGTACATTTTCCATCAAATTTCGTACCTTTTGTTCCATAAAAAAAAGATTCTCTGTGAGATAGACTTTATGTTCCCTAAACCAGTGATGGCTGTTGTTTAAGATTCCTCATCTTTCTGAGTGTTCCACCACTCTCCTTATAATTTTCTCCATTACTGTAGATAGTACGTTCAATGCTGCTTCTCTATTCTCTTGCTTGAATACTGGAATAGCATTAGCCATTTTCTAGCTTTCCAGAATGTGCCCAATCTCCGTCGAATTATTGGAGTTTTTTCTTAGAGGTCAACACAAGGCCTCTGCTCACTTTTTCATGACTCAGAGAGACACCTTGGCAGGTCTCACTGCTGCACTCTTGGGTCATATGGTGTATTGCATTATCCTTTTCCTCAGTTATTACCTCTTTAAAACACTTGTTTAGTTCCTTGATAACTTACCTCCTTCCTTTGCGAGCAGTGTCACTTGATGCTTTACTGATATTTTTCGTCTGATTTTGCATTTACCGTTAATGTTAGTCTCATATTATTATCATTACACCTCTTCTAACTCCTAACAAAATCGTTTCTGACTCTTCTGCTCCTCCTCAGAGGACTTCTTTCCTTTGTTTTCTGTATCTCTTAAAAATTCTTTTGCTTCTAGTCTTCAAATCTCTACGAATGTCGTTGAATCGTATGCTCTTTTTATTGTTTTGCGCTTCTCTTAGGCATAAATTTCTCCTCTGCCTCCTGGCATTTTTAAGCATTCACCTCTTCTTTGTCATTTCTTTTATTTTCAGTTCCTCCTGGTTACATTCAAGAATTCTTTCATCTGCACATATTTCCAACTTCTGTAATCTTGTTTGTCTCTCCCTCTTCGTTCCAAGTTCCAACCTCTTTTCATTGTTTATTTCTATCATGTAGCCAGTCTCGGTGAGGGATTCATTATTCCTATCACCTCTATCTGAGGCCTCAAATTTGAGGAGCAGGTTTTGCCTTGTTGACTGATCCGCTTTTCTCTCTCTCTCTTGTTGTCTTCTTCATCTGCTATCACATGGGGTTCTTAAGTACTCCGTTTCATGGACTCCAGTATCTCTGATGCAGGCTTTCTGTACTGGGACGTGCTGCAAACAACGGCCAATAACAATCACAAATATTTCAATAAGGGAAGAAGTTAGGCCCAAAAAATATCTTGTGTAATATATATTCTTCCTTCAACACTGGGATGTGCACCAGCTGATATCCCAAGACTTCTTAGCTTGAACAATATCATCTCCCAAACTAATCCCTGACAGTTGTATACCACCACTAGATGACTCTAACTACCGTGCTTACAGGTAGTAAGCATGACTGCAGGAAAGAGGTTAGTCTTGTACTCGTTATATGAATACATACCTACTCGGTGCATTCAATGCTCCCTCCATCAGTTTGACACGAGTCAGGTTTCCTAAGTAGGTTTCATTACTCCCAATCTATGTCCCTATGGTCAAGTCTCCCATAATCATTGCTTTCCTTTTTGTCCTGTAGGCTCTTCGCCTTATCTTCTATAGCGGCTACTGTGACTCTGTTGCCTTCTTTGTTTTCCAGTCTTAGTCTTCTGCTATTAGGAGGATGATTGTTGACTGCAGGCGCAACTACAATGGGGTCATTCCAGTAATGATGGTGTCGACATATGGTCACTGTCCTCACAGTTTGTATCACTGTGGTAGTCTTGGAACTCTACTGGTTCTTCAATTTTTTGTTTCTTCATACTTGGCACCAGTGTTACTGTTAGTATTGTACTCACCTAATTGTGGTTGCAGGGGTCGAGACTCAGCTCTTGGCCCTGCCTTTTCACCGGGTGCTACTATGTCCTCTCTCTCCCTGCTCCATGAACTTTATCATACCTCATCTTAAAGCAATGTATGGTTCCTGCCTCCACTACCTCACTTGCTAGGCTATTCCACTTCCTGACAACTCTATGACTGAAGAAATACTTCTTAACATCCCTTTGACTCATCTGGGTCTTCAACTTCCAATTGTAACCCCTTGTTTCTGTGTCCCCTATCTGGAACATCCTGTCTCTGCCCACCTAGTCTATTCCAAGCAGTATTTTGTATGTCGTTATCATTGTCTGTTAGTTTTGTCTTTGTGATAGCTGGGACGTCTGGCATTGTCTCTTTTGTAATAAAGTTGGTAGAATTACCGACAATATGTAAAGTAAAAGGACACAAGTGCAACTAGTGTGACATTTATTGTGGCAACGTTTCGCTCTCCAGGAGCTTTATCAAGCCATTACAAACAATACATGGACACAGAGGGTATATAAAGGCTCTGAGTGAGGTGCAATACTAGTGAGGTACCATTTCGATGTTCACTAGTGGTAGTAGTAGTAGTAGTAGTAGCAACAAAAATAATACAACATGGTAGAGCAATTAATTCGTACATGAGTAAAAGGATATAAAAGCTATTACTTGGGTAACATAAAAATAGGTTGGACAAATATAGACTGGAAAGAGGCAGGTTGTTTCAGTGTTCACTGTCTGTAATGTGCTTTGTGTAGTATAACATTAGAGACTATGTGATGGCAGGGTTTACTGTTTTCAGGAGGATTCTTGCTAAGACTTCGGAGATGGTGAAGTTGCCATTGTTTTGTTTAATTGTATTCGAAACAGCGATCAGTGCTGATTCAAGGCACTTGCGTCTGCGGAAATTAGTTTCTTTGATCACTAATTGGGAGTCTCTGAATTTCACGAGATGATTGGTGGAATTTCGGTGTTGTACACAGGCGTTGTTCAAGTTGTCGTTCCTACATGCGTAAATGTGTTCATTGAGGCGGGTGTCGAGGTTTCTTGCTGTTTCACCTACGTAGATCTTGTCACAGCCTCCACAGGGTATAGTGTAAACTCCTGCATTGACTGGTTCGTGGTGCTTGGGTTTTGTCCTGGTTAGATCCTTTATTGAAGGCTAGAAGCGATGGCGACTCTGGTGTTAGCTTGTGAAAGTACTTTTGAGACGTTTAGTGCAACCTGGCTGTTGGGAAGAATTATAACTTTGTTGGGAGCGGTGTTGATGCGTGGAGAATTAATGATCTGAAGAGCTCTTTTCTTGCAGTCTTTGATGAAAAAAGAAGGAAAATGTAACTCAGTGAATGTTTGGTGAATGTATGTACATTCCTCGTCAAGAGACTCAGGACTACAAATTCGGTATGCTCTTAGGAAAAACCCGATGATGATGCCTCTTTTGGTCTTGGTATCTTGACTGGAATAGAAGTGTGTGAGATCATTTTTATTGGTGGGTTTCCGATAAACTTGAAATCTTAGGTTGTTGTCTACTTTGTGAATGAGGACGTCGAGGAAAGGTAGCTTGTCATTGGACTCTTCTTCTAGTGTAAACTGGATCGCTGGTTCAACTGCGTTGAGCCTTGCCTGAAGATCCCGTACATCAAAACGTTTTGGAGTTATTACGAGGACATCGTCCACGTAACGTAACCAAGTGACGCTTGAAGGGATGATGTTGGCGAAGTGTCCGGACTCTAGGTGTTCCATGTATAAGTTGGCTAGGACGGCACTTATTGGGGACCCCATTCCCATGCCGTAGGTTTGTTTGTAGAGCTTGTTATTGAAAGAAAAACAGTTGAAATCAAGTCAACAAAATCTCCGGGAGGTAGAGGAAGATTAAGGTCCTGATTGACTTTACCCTAAACCAGCACACATGTATGGTTTACCCAAGACCCATAAACACAATATTCCTCTCAGACCAATCACGTCAGGAATAGGCAGTGCTCCACACAAACTAGCCGGAGTTCTTGCCAAACATCTTTCCTGCCTTCTGGGGACCATCAGCCCCGCTCATCTTAAACACTCAGACGACCTTCTCAACCGCATCCGTAACCTCTCCATCCGTAACAAGAAACTAAGCAGTTTGGATGTGACTTCCCTCTTCACAAAAGTACCTACCAAAAAAGCCATCGAGGTTCTACGACGTAAAGTCAATCAGGACCTTAATCTTCCTCTACCTCCCGGAGATTTTGTTGACTTGATTTCAACTGTTTTTCTTTCAATAACAAGCTCTACAAACAAACCTACGGCATGGGAATGGGGTCCCCAATAAGTGCCGTCCTAGCCAACTTATACATGGAACACCTAGAGTCCGAACACTTCGCCAACATCATCCGTTCAAGCGTCACTTGGTTACGTTACGTGGACGATGTCCTCGTAATAACTCCAAAACGTTTTGATGTACGGGATCTTCAGGCAAGGCTCAACGCAGTTGAACCAGCGATCCAGTTTACACTAGAAGAAGAGTCCAATGACAAGCTACCTTTCCTCGACGTCCTCATTCACAAAGTAGACAACAACCTAAGATTTCAAGTTTATCGGAAGCCCACCAATAAAAATGATCTCACACACTTCTATTCCAGTCAAGATACCAAGACCAAAAGAGGCATCATCATCGGGTTTTTCCTAAGAGCATACCGAATTTGTAGTCCTGAGTCTCTTGACGAGGAATGTACATACATTCACCAAACATTCACTGAGTTACATTTTCCTTCTTTTTTCATCAAAGACTGCAAGAAAAGAGCTCTTCAGATCATTAATTCTCCACGCATCAACACCGCTCCCAACAAAGTTATAATTCTTCCCAACAGCCAGGTTGCACTAAACGTCTCAAAAGTACTTTCACAAGCTAACACCAGAGTCGCCATCGCTTCTAGCACTTCAATAAAGGATCTAACCAGGACAAAACCCAAGCACCACGAACCAGTCAATGCAGGAGTTTACACTATACCCTGTGGAGGCTGTGACAAGATCTACGTAGGTGAAACAGCAAGAAACCTCGACACCCGCCTCAATGAACACATTTACGCATGTAGGAACGACAACTTGAACAACGCCTGTGTACAACACCGAAATTCCACCAATCATCTCGTGAAATTCAGAGACGCCCAATTAGTGATCAAAGAAACTAATTTCCGCAGACGCAAGTGCCTAGAATCAGCACGGATCGCTGTTTCGAATACAATTAAACAAAACAATGGCAGCTTCACCATCTCCAAAGTCTTAGCAAGAATCCTCCTGAAAATAGTAAACCCTGCCATCACATAGTCTCTAATGTTATACTACACAAAGCACATTACAGAGAGTGAACACTGAAACAACCTGCCTCTTTCCAGTCTATATTTGTCCAACCTATTTTTATGTTACCCAAGTAATAGCTTTTATATCCTTTTACTCATGTACGAATTAATTGCTCTACCATATTGTATTATTTTTGTTACTACTACTACTACTACTACTACTACCACTAGTGAACATCGAAATGGTACCTCACTAGTATTGCACCTCACTCAGAGCCTTTATATACCCTCTGTGTCCATGTATTGTTTGTAATGGCTTGATAAAGCTCCTGGAGAGCGAAACGTTGCCACAATAAATGTCACATTAGTTGCACTTGTGTCCTTTTACTTTACATTGTCTCTTTTATTCTCTCTTTCATTTCACTACTCTTGTTGTCGTCGAAACCTACTTGTATTGTTGCTTATACCATCATTATTAGCTCTATTTACTCTTCTTGGTGTGTACCATTAATGATGTCGCAACCTACCAGTGTTCATGTTCCAGGCCCTGGAGGTATAAAGAGGCATGAGAGGGGTGTTGGAGAAGACCCTCTGCAGGTCAGTGGTGACCACCCGCAGGTTGGTGTACTGTTGTAGCAGACGAGGAGGCAGGCCATCCCTCGCCTCCACTGCTGGTGCAGTCATCACGTACCACACCTTCGCTTCTGGATTCTGCTGCGCCATGCTGGAAGGAGAGAAAGGTGGGACAGGCAAACTAAAGAAAGATACACTACAGGATACTATGGGATGCAAGTAGTGCTGAAGGCGGCTGAGTGGCTCCTGCGGCTGAGTGGCTCCTCCTGAAAAGGTCTGCCGCTGAGTGGCTCTTTTTCCTGAGTGGCTCCCTTTCCTGAGCAGACTCCTTTTCACACCTATATGCTAATGACCTTGACCTCGCCCTCAACCCCCACCCACGACCCCCCCACCCACGACCCCCACATACGACCCCACCCACGACCCCCACCCATGACCCCCGCCCATGACCCCCACCCACGACCCCCACCCACGACCCCCACCCACGACCCCCACCCACGACCCCACCCACGACCCCACCCATGACCCCACCCACGACCTCCACCCACGAACCCCACCCACGACCCCCCCCCCGATCCCACCCTCGACCACCTCACCCCCAATCCCACCCACGCCCTGCCCGACCGGCGCCCGCCCACACCCCCCGCCCTTGACTCCAGTGCCTTCTGCAGCTCGTCCGGATCACCCCTCCCCCCCTTTTTCCTCCCTGGGGAAAAAAAGGGGGGGGGGGCCCCCCCCTTTTTCCCCGGCCCAGGTTTTTTTTTTTAAAAAAGGGGGGGCCCCCCCCCTTTGGGTTTTTTTTTTCCCTTTTTTTTTGGGGTTTTTTTCCCCTTTTTTAAAAAAGGGGGGGCCAAATTTTTTTAAAAAAAAAAATTTTTTTTTTTTTTTTGGGGGGGGGTTTTGGGGGGCCCCCTTTAAACCGGGGGGGGGGGTTTTTTTGGGGGGGGGGCCCCCCCCCTTTTTTTTTCCCCCCCGGGGGGATTTGGGGCCCCCCCGGGGAAAGGCCCCCCCCCCCCCCCGGGGGCCCCCAAACCCCCCCCGGACCCCCCCCCGGGGGAAAAAAAACCCCCCCCCCCCAAAAAAAAACCCCCCCCCCCCCCAAAAAAAAAGGGGGCCCCCCCCCCCCCCCCTAAAAACCCCCCGGACCCCCCCCCCCCCTTTTTTTTTTTCCCCCCCAAGCCCCCCCCCCCCCCCCCCCGCCCCCCCCGCCCCCCTTTCCCCCCCCCCCAAAACCCCCCCCTTCCCCCCCCCCCCCAAAAAAAAAAACCCCCCCCCCCCCCCCCCCCCCAAAAACCCCCCCCCCCCCCCCCCCCCCCCCCCCTTTTTTAAATTTTTTGGACCCCCGGAAAACCCCCCTTAAAAAAAAATTTTTTTCCCCGGGAAAAATTTTTTTTTAAATTTTTTTTTAATTTTTTTTCCCCACCCCCCCCTTTTTTTTTTTTTAAAAATTTTTTTTTTTTAAAATTTTTTTTTTTTTTTTCCCGGAAAATTTTTAAATAAAAAAACCCTTTTTTTTTTTTTAAAAAAAATTCCAAAATTTTTTCCCCCTTTTTTTTTTTTTTAAAAAAAAGGGGTTTAACTTTTTTTTAAAAAAAAATTTTTTCCCCCCAACCCCAAAAAAGGGGGCCCCCCCTTTTTTTCCCCCCGGGTTTTTAAAAAAATTTTTTTTTTTTTTTTTAAAGTTTTTTTTCCCCCCAAAAAACCCCCCCTTTTTCCCCTTTTTTTTTTTCCCGGTTCCCCCTTTTTTCCCCCCCCCTTTTTTTCCCCCCCAAAAATTTTTTACAAATGCCAAAATGGGAATTTTTTTTTTTTTCTTTTGGGAAAAAAAAAAAAACCCCCAAAACCCCCTTTTTTTTTTTTTTTTAAAAAAAAATTTTTTTTTTAAAAAAAAAAAACCCCTTTTTTTTTCCCCCCCAAAAAAAAATTTAAATTTTTTTTTTTTTAAAAATTTTAAAAACCCCCAAAACTTTTTAAAAAATTTTAAAATTTTTTAAACACTTTTTTAAAAAAAAAACCCCCTTTCCCCAAAAAAAAAAAACCAAAAAAAATTTAAATAAAAAAAATTTTTTTTTTAAAAAAAAACCCCTCCCATTTAAAAAATTTTTTTTTAAAAAAAAAAAACCCCCCTTTAAAAAAAAAAAAACCAAAAAAAAAACCCCCCCCCCAAAAAAAACAAAACTTAAAAAAAATTTTTTTTAAAACCCCCTTTTAAAAAAAAAAAAAAACCCCCCCCCCCAAAAACCCCCAAAAAAAACCCCCCCCTTTTTTTTTTTAAAAAAAAAAAAAAAAAAAAAAAATTTTTTATTTTTTTTAAAAAAAAACCAACAAAAAAAAACCCCCCCCAAAAAACCCCCCCACACCAAAAAAAAAAATTTTTTAAAATTTCCCAAACCCCAAAAACAAAAAATTCCCCAAAACCCCCCCCCCAAAAAAAACCCAAAACCCCCCCCCCAAAAACCCACCCCCCCCCCAAAAAACCCTTTCCCCCCCCCAAAAAAAACCCCCCCCAAAAACCCCCCAAAACCCACCCCCCCCAAAACCCCAAAAAAACCCCCAAAAACCCCCCCAAAAACCCCAAATTTAAAAAAAACCCCCCCCCCCCCAAAAAAAAACCCCCCCCCCAAACCCCCCAAAAAAACCCCCAAAAACCCCCCCCCCAAAACCCCCCCCCCAAAAAAACCCCAAAAAAAAAAAACCCCTTTCCCCCCAAAAAAAAAACCCCCCCCCCCCCAAACCCCAAAAAAAAAAACCCCCCAAATAAAAACCCCCCCCCAAAAAAAACCCCCAAAAAACCCCCCCCCAAAACCCCCCCCCCAAACCCCCCCCCCAAAACCCCCAAACCCAACAACAAAAAAAACCCCCCCAAAAAACCCCCCCCAAAAAAAACCCCCCCCCCCCCCCCAAAAAAAACCCCCCCCCCAAAACCCCCCCCCAAAACCCCCCCACACCCCAAAAACAACAACCCCAACCCCCCCCCCAAAACCCCCCCGGCCCCCCCCCCCCAAAAAAAAACCCCCCCCCAAAAAAACCCCAAATTTAACCCCCCCCCAAAAAAAAAACCCCCCCCCCCCCCCCAAAAAACCCCCCCCCAAAAAAACCCCCCCCCCCCCAAACCCCCCCCCCAAAAAAACCCCAAAAAAACCCCCCCCCCCCCCAAAAACCCCAAAAAAAAAACCCCAAAAAATTTTTTTTCCCCCCCAAAAAAATTTTTTTTTTTTAAAAATTTTTTCCCCCTTTTTTAAATTTTTTTTTCCCTTTTTAAAAAACCCCCAAAAATTTTTTTCCTTTTTAAAAACCTTTTTTTTTTTTTTCCCCCCACATTTTTTTTTAAAAAATTTTCCCCCCCCCCCCCCCCCCAAAAAACCAAAATTTTTCCCCCCTTTAAAAAATTTTTTAAATTTTTTTTTTTTTTTTTCCCCTTTTAAAAAAACCTTTTTTTTAAATTTTTTAAAATTTTTTTTTTTAAATTTTTTTTTTAAAAAACCCCCCAAATTTTTTTTTAAAAAAAAAACCCCCCCCCCCTTTTTTTTCCCCCCCCCCCCCCCCCCCCCCCTTTTTTTTCCCCAAAAAAAACCCCTTTAAACCCCCCTTTAAAAAAAAAAATTTTAAACCCCAAAAAAAAATTTTTAAAATTCTTTTAAAAAATTTTTTTCCCAAATTTTTAAAAAACCCCCCCAACACCCCCCCAAAAAAAAAAACCCCAAAAAAAAAACCCCCCCACACACACACACAAAAAAAAACACACCACAAAAAACCCCCACAAAACACACACACCCCCCCCCCCCCCCTTTTTTTTAAAAAAAAAAAATTTTTTTTTTCCCCCTTTTTAAAAACCTTTAAAAATTTTTTTAAAACCTTTTTTTTAAAAAAAACCCCCCCAAAAAAAAAAATTTTTTAAAATTTTTAAAACCCAAAAAAAAACCCCCAAAAAAAAAATTTTTTCCCCAAAATTTTTTCATTTTTTTTTTAAAAAAAAAATTTTTTAAAATTTTTAAAATTCAAAAAATTTTCCCCAAAACCCCCAAAACCTTTTCAAAAAAAAAACCAACACCCCCAAAAAAAAATTTAAAAAAAAAAACAAAAATTTTTAAAAAAAAACCCCCAAAAAAAAAAAAATTTTTTTAATTTAAAAAAACAAAAAAAAAAAAACCCCAAAAATTTCCAAAAAAAAAAAAACCCCCAAAAACTAAAAAAACCCCAACCCCCAAAATTTAAAAACCCAAAAAAAAGGGGGAAAAACCCCCCCAAAAAAAATTTTTTAAAAACCCCCCAAACACAATAAAAAAAAACCCCCCCCCCAAAAAAACCCCCCCCAACCAAAAAAAACCCACCCCCCCCCCCCCCCCCCCCAAAAAACCCCCCCCCCCAAAAAAAACCCCAAAAAAAAAAAAAAAAAAAAAAAAAAAAAACCCCCAAAAAAAAACAAAAAAAAAAAAAAAAAAAAAAAAAAAATTTTTTCCCAAAAAAAAAAACCCCCAAAACCCCCAAAAAAAAAAAAAAAATTTTTTAAAAAAAACCCAAAAAAAAAATTTTTTTTTTCCCCCCAAAAAACCCCCCCAAAAAAACCCCCCCCCAAAATTTAAATTTCCCGGGGTTAACCCCCCCTTTTCCCCCCTTTTCCAAATTTTTCCCAAAAATTTTTAAAAATTTTTTTTTTTCCCCCAATTTTAAATTTAAAAAAAAAAACCCCTTTAAAAAAAAACCCCCCCCCCAAAATTTTAATTTTTTTTTAAAATTTAAAAAAAACCCCAAATCAAAAAAAAAATTTTTTTTTTTTAAAAAAAAAAATTTTTTTTTTCCCCCCCTTTTTCCCACCTTTTAATTTTTAAAAATTTTTTTTTTTAAATTTTCCCCCCCCCCAAACCCCCCCCAAAAAAAAAACAAAAAAAAAAACAAAACTTTAAAATTAAAAAAAAATTTTTAAAAAAACCCCCCCAAAACCAAAAAAAAAAAAAATTCCCCAAAATTTTAAAACCCTTCCAAAAAAAACCCCCAAAACCCCCAAAAAAAAAAACCCCATTTTTTAAAAAAACCCCCCAAATCCCAAAAACCCCTTAAAAAACCCAAAATCTAATTTTTCCCCCAAACATCCATTTTATAGAAATTTCCCCCAAATCAAATATTAAAAAAGAACCCCCCCCCCCCATGGGC